TACCGCGACCCCCACCCCCCCTGGTTGTCATATTCGACCCCTTACACAGTACTCACCTTACCTTTTTCTCCACCTTTGTGTCTGTCTGCCTCTTTTACATCTGTGAATCGCTCTTCTGTTCCCCACCCCTCGACTTTCTGTTGCTTTGATGAACCTTCCCTCTGTAAAGCCCGAAGTCAGCTACATGGCTAATGATATCTATCAAAACGCCTGCCATTTGAAATAAATAAACTAGCAATTACGATTAATGGCGATTTTTGTCCCGATTTTAGGAAGACTGGTAGGGGGTGATGGGCCTGTACTTCGTCTGTATGCATTTTTACTCCTTATTCTCATCTGTCCCACAGCAAGAAACAAAATACACACATAAAGAGTCCATGGAAATTTTCGTCATTTTAAAATGGAACAAGATTAATTGACTATCGAGAGGTATTAGATACAATTTTCGCGATTTTCTTATTTCTCATTGATGTACTTTAACCCTGTCTCTGATGTTTAACCAGCTCATTTAAAAAGTAGTAATAATTCCTTATTAAACAGTAAAGAGAATTCATGCAACAAATTTCATAATTGAGCAAAACTCCAATATTGAAACTACCTCATTCGGAAGTTTTGAAAGTTAGAAAACACGTAGTTTCTTAATGGATCAATTGCAATGTTCATTGTGTGGAGAACTTGTACAGGAGAATCTAGTCGTACGACCAAGCAATTGCTTGCATTTTTTTCACGCTAACTGTCTACTGGCCTCATTTACAGAGGAGGGAACTTGTCCAATCGATCGGCTGCCATTTGAGATGGTACACTTTTATGAAAGGGATAGAGGTCCATTGATAATTGAAGTAAGTGCGCGCAGAACTTTTAGCTATTTATTGTGTGTTAAACAAAATTTTATTCGATTGACAATTCGAGTTGTCTAATTCTATTTTTTTGATACGGTAGTTACCAATTACACAAGAAAGACGCACTTTTACTCCATTTTATGAGCGCGAACGTGAGCGTTTTCCGTTAACAGCAGATGTCTGGATGTTTAGGCTGTGTGAAATGCAAGAAAGGATGCAGAGTATTTTGTTTGAACTTATAAGCTCTCCAATAGCATCCCTGACACAACTTTTGCACTATTTTACAGCAAAGCCAGCCAATCTTCTTTACTTGCTTCGACATGTTCGATTGTTGATATGTTTTAGACGATTTCTGAGAACTGTAAGTTCTCGTGTAATATTCCCTTGAATGCGTTTATGCTGGCAGAAAATACTTAGCTTTGTATCTTATCACTTTAGGATGGGGGAAGAACTGGCTTCTACGGACGTCTACAGGAGGATAAACAGTTGAAATATGGACCGGTAGTCAACACGTTAGAGGACATTGTAACCTACATCTACATCCTTCATAAAAACGTATATTAAACGTTAATCTACGCTCTTCATTTTCAATTTACTCTTTCATGCCAACTAATATTTACTTCTTTTTATGCTAGCTTCAATTGTCTCCACCGGCAGCGATGAACGACTTGGACGACGTTGGTGGCCAACTCGGAAGATACGTGGAATTTATTGAGAGCGCTGTATTGTTTCTCATTTCATCAGTGGTCCTGGTAAAACAAGCCAGTTAAAATTTTAGAGTCGATTTAATTATTTCACCTACCTTTTAAATTACATTTTTATTTTGACTACAATTCTTTAAAAATTTAATTTCATAATTTTCTTTTTTTAGGAAACACATACGGAAGAAAATCCTCATCTTGGTAAGGAACCAAGTGAATCTAGTCCAAAACGTTTCTTAATGTTTTAGTCTGTAAAAATAAATAGTTATTGGAAAATTATCACATTTTCATAATATGCACCATTTAGGAAATTTTGTGCATTTTCTGTAAAACATTCACTTATGGCCATATCTAACAGCTAAATAGAACGGTTAGCAAAAAAACTGCACTTAATTTTCAATCCTTGTTTTTTTATCTAATTAGTTAATTGCTCATGACTAAAATTAAACAATAAGTGTTGGCGAAGTGGTATATTTTTTCATTAATGACATCATTTTAGCCGAGGCTAAAAATTATATTTCTCCAATCAAAATATAACCAACTAAATAGAGAACTAGTATTTAGTGGTAAATTTATCCATACGCTTCAACTTGAATCTAAATAATCCGGTTAATTTAATCATCTTTTCACTATCTCTATTGCTTTCACAAATGTCTTTGTTTAACTCTAAATGTGAAATGAAGTGTGTACCAACAAAAGCTTGATATTATTAAATGAATTTTCCAATTCACCATAAAACGACATGGTTTGTGATTCATTATAACGCTTAGCGTATTTCTAAACGTATTTGCAATTATTCATCTGATTTCAGTGTCGCTTTTTAGTGAAGGTTTTATTAGAACATTAATCTTGTGAATATATTAATTTGTGAAGTACACAAACCTAACTCGATTGAATTAAGCAATCTCTTGCGCTTTCGAACATTCTGGTGGGTGCGGCCGTGCGTGCAGAGACCTTTTTAGCCAATCAGCTATTAGTATTCATTTGTGTTATACTAACCGTATTCAATTACTAATCATGTTTCCTGTGAGTATAATTACTATAAGCGTTGAGGTAGCTTAACTAATTCTATGAGTCTTTCAAAATGTTAGTTGTTTTGGTAGTGAATTCGCTTAGTATAAGTATATAAGTATCTAAAATTTATCGAATGGAAATATTTTGTAATAATTTCGTTTCATTTTACTTTTCATTTTTCAAAAAAACGTCTAAATTTATGAAGTGAGAAGGGTATGACTTGGTAATCAAAGTGTGTTATTTACGATTCTAATAGAATTCAATTGTAGTGATTTTGTAAATTATTAAAACTCTGTTGTCATAAGTACTCATTCATATTTTCTCAGTTTACTTACTAGTTCATGAGATTGAATCACTTCCCAGTAATTAGTGGTTATTGAATTTATGCCTTCAAATGGAACCACGCGTTATAATTTTAGATTTATAATGGTTTATACTATTACTAAATTCAATCCTATTTTCCTCATGCAAAATAAGATTGCCTCTACTGAGGTAAATTTTATATTATTTTTGTTACTGTGTTATATTTTGGTGATTTTTCCCACCTTTAAAATATACTTCATTATAAGTAATATGATCAATCTTCATTTTACTCATGAAATTTAACCGCATAAATTTAATTGTGATTAATTATTTATAATATGTATTTTTAGCTTTTTAGCAAAATCACAATCTATATAAATTTTTGAGTACATTGTTGTTCGATTATTGTTTGGTTTCTTCTTAAGTGGAGACAAAACTGTAGCGGATTGCTACCTTAGCAAAGCCTGACCGACTCAGAAATCTCTGTGGCAGATTCTCAAACATCTAGCTAGACTTCCAGAACCAGCTAAGCTATAGCCCAACTATAAAGGAAGCAGACGTGTAGCACGGAGCACGTTTATTCAGTGAGTATCTTGCGGATCAAGTGTACACGTAGGGGGCCTAATCATGATCAGGATGGGGGATTAGGTTAAACAGAGGTTGATGATTGGTCACTGTTTGTACGGTCTCTGCACGTAGAGTTGTACGGCCGCACCTCCCAATCCTGGTGAGCAGACATGCAGGCATACGATGACGCACACAGCGAAACGTGTTCCACAAAACCGCTTCTTTTTCAATGAAGGTGTCACGTTTTTATAGAAAGAAAATTCTCCAGCATGCAAGATATCAGTTTAAAGAAAGAAATCCATCTAAACTTAATTTTTTCAAACTCGGAAAACTCATCTACCACAAGAAGCAAATAGTACGTAGACTTTCATTGGAGGATAACATATGGATTTCATCGGGTTTGCAGTTAGTTAGCTGAAAAGTGTGATAATTGGGGTGAGCGGAACTCAAAAGGGTATGAACACGCAAGGCAACACAAAAAACCACTGATTTGGGCCTGATACGTTTGCGACCTCTCATCCTAGGCTTCTAAATCTCCGGATCCATTTACTCTAAGGCAGAATACACAGGAGTAATCAACTGACATACAAAAGGGCTGAACTTCGAAGATCTGGCAGACATTGTTTTAACACGTTAACAAAGGGGAGTTCTTGAAGTGTATTCTTCGCAATTGACTGATGGCAACATATAGAATCCTTAACATAATTCAGGAGATCTCGAATAATACGATGAGTAATATCACTTAAAGGCCTAGGAGTGAGTTATAATCAATTGATTTTAATAATCGATAATCAAATAATTTACTGAATCATTGCTACGAATTAAAGTAAAATTAATTTAAGGCTCGTTTTCAAAAATTGCCCTTGATGTATTGGTAATTGTGTATTATGATTAAAGATATTTGTATAATCGTATCACTAAATGTTAATCTTCAAGGGTAAACAGTTAAACTACCATTTAACCAATATTCACACACCATAAGACAATGTAAATTAAACGGATTTTATTAGGAAAGATGATCTTTAATAACTCCAACTCAATTATGAAAGAAAAGCAAGTTGAAAACATGAACTCAAGGAGTCAATCTATTCAACTTGCTTTACAATTTTTTTTCTTTTCTGGCCAGATCTTTCAACTGCTTTAGAATTTTTTCTAGTTCCCTCATCTTTGCGATGTTTTTAAACAATCCTCGTTTTTCCACTTCTTCAAATTCCGATGGTATCGCGTTATCCTCCACTCCGATAGGTTGACCATTCGAGGCTGGTAAATTGGCGAGCAAAAGGACACCGAATAGCAGAAGGGCACACAATGGTACTTGCATGATTCGATTAGTAGGAGTGCAAAATTTGGCTGTATTTATACCTTATGGAGGTGCCTTTAGCTTGAAATGGTATCCCTTAGAAATGTGAGAATTTATGCTTTAGGTTTAGATTAACTTTCAAGTACAATCCATTGAATTATGACGCCATAGTAATATTAATATCCGCTTATATTGTGAAATGAACTTCATCAGTGAATTTGTAGGGAACTAAATATTTTGGATGCCTAAATGCAAATCGACAGGGATTACGAGACACAATATGCCTAGGCAGATAGGAAAGCAGAAATTGAATTGGTTGAAGTATCCGAGACACTAATGTGTCGATAAAAAGTGGGGTGTTTTGCTTAATTAGACGAGCCGTAGGAATCAAAAAGTCGGATTCGAACATTAACTAAGTCTGCATTAAGGCTTGCATACATTAAGGCAATTAGAACATTTAGTAACCACTGTGGAAATTAATTAAGACGGGTAGATTAAAACCTTACAATCGGAAGGTTTAGTAAGACATCACACTGCGTTCCATGAGGAATTGGGAGGACGGGTTAATGGATGCAACCTTTACGCATGAATGTGCCAAAAAAGATCGACCAGGAACAATTCAGAAAAATCGAATTGCATAATCTCTCTTACTTTGAACACTGATCTCTAATTATTCCTCTAAGGGATGTGCGATAGATTTACCTCCACGTGGTGCACCCTGGGCAACGTATACTCATACGGCAAAAAAGTTTATTAACTGGCAGTTGACTTCTCACTTCAAACTACCATCACCCCACTGTATGTCATATTCCACTACTTCCACAGTACTCGCCTCACCTTTCTTCTACCTTTGTGTTTGTCTTTTACATCTTTGAAACACTCTTCTGTCCCCCCCCCCCCCCCCCCCCCCCCC